TTTTACTCAAAGCTGGTGCTCTATCACTTGAGTCACAGCTCCACTTTCAGCATTTTGCTGGCTACTTGGGAGACAAGCACCTCCCCAACATTTCTGCCAGGGCTGTTATTGAACCATGATCCTCAGATCTCAGCCTCTCGAGTAGCGAGGATTACAGGCAAGAGCCACCACTGCCCAGCTGCAAAGTGCATTTTTAAAAATGCCATTTCATGCTGCAAGTTCTTACAGAGTGCCGGATACCTTTCCCAGCTGCTTGCTTCCCACAGAATCCACTCTCCACTCAACAGTCATCTCATCCCCTGGCTGGAGAAACTGACAAATGCTTTATAAGCTGCTGGCTCTTGGACCTGATTCTGAGTGAGCTGCATTCTGCGGCCTATTTTCAGTTGCTAATTTTCACACTAGAGTCTTGCCAAACTTCCTTGTTTTGATCATATGTAGCATGTGGAGTGCCTGCTGTCGTATTCCTGAGAAAATCCAATCCAAGGAAAATAATGGCACATCATGTTAATAGCTCTCAGTAAAGATGTTGCAGAGATCCCCAGCCCATTTCTCACCACCAAAGATGTGGTTCCCAGCTTGAGGGAAGAGAGTGAGGAGGGAATCTGCCAACTCTTTTACCCTTCCCTGTGAGGATGTTGGGTCCCTACCAACTTAAACAACCTGAAGGGGAGAGGGTACTTCCCAGACTCCAGGCAGGAACTGAACTGGTAATGCTCAGCATGATGGCAGAGAGGCAGCAAGAGTAAAATCTCCAAGCCAGGCGTGGATGGCTCACACCTGTAATTATGTGTAATCTCAGGAGGCTGAGATGTGAGGATCCTGATTTGAAGCTAGCTTGGGTAGAAAACTTTGTGAGACTCATATCCAATTAATCAGCATTAAGCCAGAAGTGGTATGACTCAAATGGTAAGAGCCCCTGTCTTGAGTGAGCCAAGTGAGAGTGCTAAGGGACAAAGCTAAGGGAGACCACCCAGACCCTGAGTTCAAACCCAGGGGCCATCACACACACTCACACTCTCTCCTGTTCTCTGCTAGACATTGAAACTTGCTCATTTTATCTACTTGCATCGCACCACTCTCTATCTAGTAAAATGCAAAACAAATAAATTAGTCCAGAACCCAAACTCCTAGATAAAGAATTTGAGCACTATTCAAAGCATTTCAAAGCACTATTCAAAGCAAGGCTGGATTCTCAAAATATTAAAAAAAAAACTAAACAAAAACAAAACAAAAAACTCTAAGGGCACGATAATAACTGAAGGAAAATATTAAAAAAAAACTGCAATCAAGCCAGGTGCTGGTGGCTCATGTCTGTAGTTCTAGCTACTCAGGAGGCTGGGATCTGAGGATTGTGGTTCAAAGCCAGCCCGGGGCAGGAAAGACCACTAGAAAACCAGAAGTGGTTCTGTGGATCAGGTGGTAGAGTGCTAGCCTTGAGCTGAAGAACTGAGGGACAATGCCCAGGCCCAGAGTTCAAGCCCCACGACTGAAAAAAAAAAAAAAAATTGCAATCAGAGCTTGAGGCAATGAAGAGTAAGGGAATATGTCAGCAACGATTGCCCCTTGAGAATACTAGAACCCAGCACTAGGAGTGGGAGGCTAATTATGAAATCACTGGGAAGAATGAGAAGTGGACCAGAGACTCCTGCCTTGTCAGATGCTTCAAACGTAGGCAGACCAGGGCAGGCTGTTAGAGGCCCCAGGCTCAGGAAAGCAGCAAAAGAAAGTTTGTATCTGAAAAAAGAATATCCATACATCATTCAGAGTGCTCTCCAGATTAAAATAAAAATATTAAATAATGACAAAAATGAGCTGCCAAATAAACAATAGCGTTAGGCTATGAAAATCAATGATATTGTAATAACCATATAGGTATTATAATATAGGCATTAGTTACATAAGAAGGTGGGATTACAGTCAGGCTCTACCCTTTATTCTGGAGTTTTACAAACATGTTATAATATTGGTACACAATAACATGTAAGAAAGGAAGTAGAGCTGTGGCTCAACTGGTAGAACACCAGACCTGGATGAAATAAAGCAAAGGGAGAATGTGAGGCCCTGAGTTCAAATCCAACACACACACACACACACACACACACACACACACACACACACACACACACACACACACACACACACAAGCAGAAGGTACAGCCTCATTGGAGGAAGTGGGTCATGGGAAAGGTGATCTTGGAAGATATTCCTTGCCCTGTTCCCTTCCTATATCTCCCCTTCTTTTTTCTTTCTCTTGCTCTATCGCACAATCCTGCTCACAGGGCTAAGCGACCATGAACTGAATCTTATGAGCCATGAACCCAAAGAAATCCTTGCTCCCTTAGCTTGTATCTGTTAGGTTAGTTGGTTACAGTGATGATTAAAAACTAACATAGGAACCCATCAAGAAGTGAGGGGGAGGGAAGCATAAGAGAGACGATAAAATAGCAATAGGAAGAAATTTTTTAACAAGGATAATAAATGGTCAATGAAATGAACTTGCCTATGAAAGATAGATCTTGCCAAATAAGATTGCTGAAGTTTTATTAGGCAGTTTGGAAGTTTTATTTGGTTATTAAAACAAAAACACATAATAAGACAGGAGTTAAAGGGTTTGAAAAATATGCTACTAAATATTAGCCCAGGCCAAGTAAGGGGAATGGTTGGTGTCCCAGAAAGCAGGTATTATGATAAAAAGCATCAGCAATAAGGAAATCACTGAGGGGGAAAAGAGTTTGACTCAGAAGGATGACATGAGAATTCTAAACTATTTACTTGACTTGAAAAAAAATGTGTCCCCATTTGACTGGTTTTATCTTTTCTCTTTCAGTAAAATTTTCTTTTCAAGTGCCTTGAAAACCATATTTTCATGTCATCATCTTTATCCTTGGGTGTCAAACAAGGAAATACATGTTAAGTAGAAGCTAAGACCTAACCCACATTATGAAGCTGCAAGGGATTACCTAGCTAGAATTAACTACTACTTGCTAATTGGGATAGCAGAAAAAATATTGTGTCTTGCAGTGTGTTCTCTGATCTACTAATGAGTATCTATATTCTAGATGAGTATTTATATTCTCTAGAAGAACAACCTACCAACCAACCAACTATAGACCAGAAAGGACAATGTTTCTCCCAAATCTAAATTTATTCAGTTTAAGTGAGATTGAGATTGTGTTCTTTCTACTTTTTTGGTACTAAAATAATTTTTTCTTTGACATGATTCTGATAGGAGATGGCCATGTTTTTGTTGTCAAAATGAACAGCTAGAATCACAAACTCCCAAAATTTAAGCATCATTTTATAAATTTACATGGACTGCAAAGTAGGAATCACAGTCTAGGTAAAGGCTTACTTTAAAAAGGTATATATTAATTGTACAAAAGGGTTTCATTGTGATAGATATACATATAATTTACCTGGATCATATTCATACTATTGTTCTTTTGTGTGTGTGTGAGTGTGCGCACATGCATGCACACCCATGAACTGGTTCTAGCACTTCTACTCAATGTCTAGGTGCTATCTCCGAGCTTTTGTGCTTAAGTTTAGTGCTCTAGCACTTGAGCCACAGCATTTAGTTTTTGGTGTTTATCTGGAGACTAAGTCTCATGGCCTTTCCTGCCTGGGCTGGCTTTGAACCACAGTCTTCTGATCTGGGCCTTCTGAGTAGCTAAGACTTTTAGACATAAGCCACTAGCACCTGGCCCATTATTCTTTCTTATCTTCTTCTTAAAAAAATAATTTTAATGTGTTCATTAGTCTACTTTCCTATATTCATATAATGTACTTCAATCATCCCCTACATCATCACCCTTTGCTTTTATATTTATGTCATGTTCTTTGGTCTCAAGTCCACATAGGAAACAGTCCCAATATAAGCTGAAGGCTACCTTCTGTGCTGTGTATTTTAAGGTGGTAAATTCTTTCTTCTTGATATCCCCTATAAAGATTATGAAGCCAGACAAAAGTCAGTCTCAAATCACAATAAGCCAGTGTAAATGAGGTCCTAATTTTTTTTCTTTTCTTTCTTTCTTTCTTTTTTCTTTTTTTTTTTGTCGGTTGTGGGGCCTGAACTCTGGGCCTGGGCGCTGCCCCTCAGCTCTTCAGTTCAAGCTAGCGCTCTACCACTTGAGCCACAACGCCACTTCTGTCATTTTCTGCTTATGTGGTGCTGAGGAATGGAACCCAGGGATCCTCATGCATGCAAGGCAAGCCACCTTCCCAGCCCGGGGCCCTAATTTCAAACACTAACATAAGAGGCTTTCATTCAACACCATGGTTTTACCATCTTTTATTATATTGCCAACAATCCAGTACTATGGAGTACAATTCAAAGTAAAATGCCATTTTCCTTGGTAGTATTTACTATTACAGAAGAGTGTTGCCACAAGTAAGCAATACTGGCACTATGCAGAAATAAGAAGGCCACTCTTCCGGGTAGGTCTCAGTGGCCTCACAGGAAGTTTCGGTTTCAGTGTACGTTTTTGTCCATTTACCTTTATAATTACATCATCCCACAGAGCTCTCAGTATTACATACCTTCCAACTGAGAGGAAATAACATAAGGAATTGTATTTTACCTTCACGTGAGACTTATTTCATAATCATTTCTTTTTTTTTTTTTTTTGGGTCCGGTCGTGGGGCCTGAACTCTGGGCCTGGGTGCTGTCCCTCAGCTCTTCAGCTCAAGGCTAGCGCTCTACCACTTGAGCCACAGCGCCACTGCCGGCTTTTTTCTTTTTGCTTATATGGTGCTGGGAATCGAACCCAGGGCCTCAGGCATGCAAGACAAGAGCTCTACCACTGAGCCACCTTCCCAGCCCTTCATAATCATTTCTATGTCATTAGTTTTAAGAAAAAAGTACTTCCATATAAACGTATAGACTGGAACATACATTTAGAAAACATCCCCAAAATGTGGAAATTGCAACATGTCTACCCCGTATGAGAACAGTTAATCCCCATCCCCCAAAAGTATTAAAAACAAGAAAGAATAGCTAGCCGTTACATTGTTTAATAGCGTTTCACAGAAAATGCTAGAATAATAATCACTGGTATTGAGTAGGTGAAACTGTTGAGTTTCACTTTTGACTCTATCATCCCTTCTTATTACGTTCTTGGTAATATTAGTTTTATATCCATTTGGCATGAGCATTTATATTAAACATTGAAATTACAAGCCAGAGTATGTATCAGGAACTCTAAAAGCATCTTGTTTGTTTGTTTTTTCCCCAAAAGTGAGCCATGTTAGTAATTACTAAGACAAATACAGATTCTGGGGACCGGCAGGTACCTTGCAGTGAATATATAAAGGCCAAAACATCTGGCCAGGTGACTCAAGAGTAAACCACTCTCAATTTTTCTTTGTTTTCTTCAGATAGCGTGCTCGTACGGCCTTGTTGAAACCCATCGTTATTTTAAAATACATCCAACGAGGCAGGATTGAGTTTACTGAGCCCTAGGGAAACAAACGGGAGATATGTAGCTTGTAACTTGTACTGAAATAAAGTCTAGGCACCTATGTTTTACTCTACTGTTATTTGTAGGTAGAGCTTAAAGTTTAAGGTGTACAGTTTTGTTTTTGTTTGTTTTTTCCTGAACAGGGGTCTGAACTCAGGGTCTTGGATTGCAAAGCAAGTGCCCTACCAGTTAAGCGATGCCTCCAGCCTGGTTTTTTTTCCAATTCTTTTCAGATAAAGTCTTGTACTTTTGCTAGGGGGTTGGCTACCTGTGCTTCTGATATAACTGGGATTATAGGCATGCATCTCTGTGCCCAGGTTGTTTTCTAAGATAAGGTCTTACAAACTTTACTGTCCGGACTGGCCTTGAACCAACATTCTCCTATCTCCTCCTTCCATGTAACTGGGAATAAAGTCATGTGTCAACACTGACCAGTGAGTGTACCACTTAAAATAAAATATAGACATGTTGGGAGTTTGTCTACCCAACGTGTGTGTGTGTGTGTGTGTGTGTGTGTGTGTGTGTGTGTGTGTGTGTGTGTGTGTGTGTGTGTGTGTGTGTGTGTGTGTGTGTGTGTGTGTGTGTGTGTGTGTATGCGCGTGTGTGTGTGCGCGCGCGCTAATATAGTCTATCTTGTAACTCAGTAGGAGAAAAAAATTCCAAGTCTGGAAGCACTTTGGGACTTAAGATCTACTTACCATGAGAGTGTGGATCAGGTACCCAGTGGTTCTGGACTGCAAGCCTACTGTTTTAATTGCAGATTTCACAAATGTGTCTGGAGAAGGCTTATCGAAGGTTGGCTTTCGGATTTTAGCCAATTTAGTAGCTATGAAGTATGGCAGGACACTCTAGAAAGACAACCCCGCAAAACAAAACAAAAACACGTATTATTGATTAGGAAGGCCACAAACAGAGCTGACAGTGATGTCTGAGTGAGTGTTGTTAGTGGTAGTTATCGTATCTTTACAGAGAGAAGAGACAGAGCTATCTGTTAAATTGATGAGACATATGATACCATAAAACAAAGTATAACAAGCCAGTCTACCAATAAAATACTAAAACAAAATTTGAGTCTAAGGAAAGCATTAGGTAGAAACATATCTTTTTGAATTTTTAAAAGAAAGCACTGAGTGGAAATTCAGACAGTAGACTCAAGGTAAGATATGCTTTTTATCCTCAGTAAATGGGACAAGGTTAAGGAACCAAAAAAGTAGGTAATTTTTAACATCTTTTATTCTTTCAAAGAGGTCAAAGAGGTAATATTAATTTTCTGTAATTCATAGTTAATTATGCCTTCATCAATCTGCTATAGTCCTTCTAAAATAAACATTTCATTTTCTCAGTCTTAGGTTACATTTTCTTGTCATTCTGCTTCTGAAGTTTTTCTAAACTCAGAATGGTTTTCCCTTGTGTTGTGCGGGATCATACGCAGGACCTTGTTCGTACCAGGCATACACTCAACCACTGAACTACATCCCCAGCTACACTTCTACTACTAGTAGGATAGTACCACCTCCAATCTTATGAACCACGAACCATAATAAATAAGCTGAAACTTCACTCTAGTATTCAAACATTGTCTTTCTCTTTCTCATCCCTGAGGCCACAAACCCACACAAAGTAAACTAAGGCATGCCTTCACTAAGGCATGTCAGTAACTGAGCCAACTTCAATTTCTGAAAAGCTTATGTATTGGAACCATCATCACATATTTATGCCTGTCTTAATGAGCAATAATGTTTGTCAAAAGTCATCAGGCTTGACTGGAGCTGTGGCTCAAGTGATAGAACACTGCCTTGAGTTCAAACCCCAGTGCCACCAAAAGTAGTTTTAAAACCATTTTCCTGCATGGATATGAGAACACAGACCAGAGGTGTTATCAGTCTGACTGACTGAGAGCATGAAATGTAGAGTTAAGTGGCTAAGTCACATCTGTTCACCAAGCAAAGCAGAGTAACGAAGCAAAGCAGAATATATGCATGTACTAATATTTCAAATAATGAAGGAGCACAAGCAAAATTTTCATCATGTGAGGATGTTAAAAAAGCATTCCTTTATATGGAAATGATAAGTCCACTAAAGAATCAAGTCTCACAATAAATATAGTGTGACAATACACCTTTCAAATGCATTATAAATCCTGTTCCTTTCTTTCACCCATCTTTCTTTTCTCCCTTAATCCACATGTGACTCCCACTGGATCACTCACACTTTTAGAATCGAGTTGCACTACCTGACTGCACCACTTGATGGTGCCACAAGCCAACTCATCACTCAGCTAAACCAAAGCAATAGTCTAGAGAGAGGGCCTTGGCTCTGGGGGTGGGGACAAGAGAGCATTTTGGTAATTCTTGGTTAAGTTATATTTTTCCAAACAAGAAACAGAAACTCTATTCTGGGAAGGGAATTTCTTTCCACTTATGGTTTAAAATCAAGGTGGCTGGTGCAGCTTAGTACAGGTAGATGAGTTCAGAGCTGCAGTAGCTTTTGAGCTAAGCCCTAAACAAAGAGGAGTCTGTCAGTAAACAAGTAAGGGAACTGTGGAGCCAAGAAGAGGATACATGAAAGAACATGGTGTCTTCAGGTAACTGTAAGCAGTTTGGTGAAGCAGTGTCAGGAAGGCAGCAGATGGTACAGGAACATAAACCTAATGGCTGGATAGTACCAATGACAAGAGCACGAGCACCATGAGGACAAGGTGGTACTTAACATTAGCTTCTTGGAACTTAGAACAGCGCCTGGCACACAGCAAGAGCACAGTGAGAATCCCCTGAATGAATGAGCAAAGCGACACCTCCATGGGCCCTGATGAATAGTATTTGGCCCTTGCCACTGCTCTGGCCCAGACAATTAAATACACTAAGAAGTTGATAATAATAGAATTAAGTCAAAATCTGAGATATTCTGAAGCTTAGCCAAGACCAGCTGCCTGAAAAAGGCAAACCTGTAGAGCTAGATACTTGTGAGAATTTTACGTCACTCAACTCTTAGAACTTGAAATGTACATAATTGTGTCATATTTCAAAATATGTGAAAGTAAATAAATACCTTTTATATTAAAAAATCACCAAGGTACATCCTTAATCTGTTAAACAAAAGCCCAAGAAGTTGTAACTAATCCATTTTTCTGCCGACACAGGAAAACATCATGGGAGACGGGTCAAGAAGATAGCCATACTTTTAAAAGGAGCTTAAGCTCAACAGGTTGCTGTTAGAAATTCTGCCACCTCAGAAACAAAGTGACCTTGACAGATAATGTGGGCAAGTATCCTAGTTTCCAAATTTAGAATCTCAAACAGAAATAATTAGCTATGCCCGTACAGCAAAAAAGCTGTTGATGTTTTGCCTTTCTTAGCCTGTGGAGACAATTTGATAGCTTTCTTTCTTACTCCCTGGAGTAAATTGCACAAACCCCACTTCATCAAGCGTGGCCCTAATTCAGAACAGGAAAACTGAGTCCCAAAGCTGCAATGACAGGTAGTCAAGAACCAATCCTGGAACTTCATGGAGTAGGTCTTCTTTCACATAGAATCAACTGCTTTCCAAATATGCCTTCCCACTCTTAAAAATAGCCAGTCACTCAACAATACCTTGGGAAAATACGTATCCAGAAGAGTAGATCGTGTAGTCTTTTATACAACATGGGATTCTGGAGTACCTAACTTGCCTTTCATTTCCGAGCATTATCTTCACAAATACAGGCTGCACACCAAGGCAGAGGCTGGGGCTTCTGGGAGGTCTGTCACTTCCTTACATCTGCCTATTCATCTACCATTTCAGAACCTTCAATCTTCCTGAGTAACTACATGGATATAGTTTAGATTTGCAGTTTGGGCAGGCCTCTTGAATTGTCTAATTGGTAGACTTTCAACATTCTAGAAAACAGTAGAAGAAAGAATTGTTCTAGTGGTCGAGATTTTTGGTTGCAGGGCAATGAAAAAAAAAATGACTCATAATAGTAATGGGATACATTTAAGCACAAAGAAAATCTGATGAATCCTGGCTGACTAATCAACCCACAAATGAACTACCACAAAATACGTGGCACTTATATGGTAACATTCAAGGAACAGAAGAAAAAAAAACCTATAATCTCACAGAAAGCGGTGAACAATGAATTCTTCCTGAGCATACACTAGAATGATGCTTAGGCACTGGGCACACAACTATGCAGAGATGTCCTGATCTTACAAAGCTTACATTTCAGTAGGGGCTGCTGTAAAGAGTACTGATGAGAGAGGCTGTTTGGGCAGTTTAGTTGATCAACAAAGGCCTCTCTCATTGATGAAGGGGCCTTTCAGCTGTAGTGACTTATAAGCAAAGATCTGAAAGGAAGGGAGGGAAGCTACTCAAAAGGTTATCTTTTTGACTAAGGGGAACAGTCAGTGCAAAAGACCTGAGAAGAGAGTGCTCAGGGTGTTTCCAGAACTAGCGGAGATCAGAGAAGGAATAAGAGGCTGCAAGACAATGGATTGGGAAGTTTGCAGCCAGAATATCATGGTTTCACTCTGTAAGAGATGAGAAGCCATGTGGGAATGTCAAGCAGAGGAGTCAAATGACTGAATTCTGCTTAAGAGGTTATCCTGGCTGCTGTGAGCAGATTGTAAGGCTTTCTGGAGAATAAGAGACTAGCCAGGGAGACCTTGAACAGTGGTCAGAGTATGATACAATGGTGCTTTCAATCAAAGGAGTAGCAGCAGGGATAAGGAGAAATGGTCAAGCATGTTTCAGGAAGACTTCCTGATATAGTGTAACAGGGGAGAAAATCAGTAGTGGCTGAAATTGAACCAACTTGGGTTCAAATTCCAGCCTGCCACTTTCTAGCTAGCCATGTGATCTCGGGCAAAACACTCAATTCCTATGCAATTAGGGGATTCAGCATTTTCCTTATGGAATTATTATCTAAATAAAATACTGCCAGACTGTGAGATAGGTACTCTTAGTATGCTCTAACAGTTTTTTTTCCTAATATTCCTATTTTCAGAAAGAAGAAATTGGCCAAATGTATACATCCTGTAGGAAGTGTAAGAACACTGTTTTCCATAGAGACTCTGTGACTGATGAGGGACCTATCTGGGCACTTCCACTCTCTAAACACAGAGACAGTGGTCTGGAGGGATCTCATAAGCTTGCAGATTGTATGGGAAAATACTGTTGCAAAGGGCCAAGAGAAAGACATCCTCACTGACAAGACTGGAGATTTCACCTGGTTAGAGTTCAGTTATCCCCAACAGACCTAATTTTACTATTCTGAAGCCATTGCTCAAAGTTGGTGCAGTTGACCAGATATAAATATTTCCAGCGAGAATCTTTAAATTGCTTTATAGTTCTATTTAGACTCCATTTGCACTAAAGACACAGCCCATTGCCTCCTTTTATTGTCACTGGCAATTAACAAGAAAAATGGAGGCAGACTTATGTTTGCAATCTCAGTAGCCATTTCTCAGTATTTAGCTTTCAAGCTCTTTGAAGCCCAGCAGATCTATATATTTACTATAAATCATAAGTTTAACAGAGTAATAAAGAGGAGTATTTTCTTTCATTTAAAAATGTTGAATTTTATTTCCTTCTTTATCATAATTTGCGCCAATTGTTCTCTAAATTTCTTGGGCACAATCAAAACTACTCTGATTAAAAACCATATTTTTCACTGACTTAGCAAAACTATCAACTATCATCACCAACCCCCATAAGCCTAGAGTGGTGCTATGTACTTGTAATCCCATCTAGGTGGGAGGTATCAGTGGATCACAGTCCCAGGCCAGCTCTGGGCCAAAACACAAGACTTGCCAGGTGCCAGTAACTCACACTTATAATCCTAGAAACTCAAGAGACTGAGACATGGAGGATCATGGTTTGAAGCTAGCCTGAGCAGAAGTCTTTGAGACTTCATCTCCAATTAACAAGCAGAATGTCAGACTGCAGGTGTAGCTCAAGTGTTGGTGTGCCAGCCATAATTAAGAAAGCCCAGAGAGCTTGAGAGGCGAAGTTCAAGCCCCAGTACCGGAACAAAACATACATGCACACATCCCTATCTTAAAAATAAAGCAAAAAGAGCTCAGGACATGGCTCAAATGGTAGGACAAGTGTGAGGCTTGAGTTCAAATTCTAGTACTGTTAAAATAAATACACAAGGAAACAAAAAGCCAAACAGAAACAAAAGAGCTCTGGGCACCAGTCAAATGGTAGAGTCTGTCTAGCAAGAACAAGGTCCTAGGTTCAATCCCCAGTACCAATAAAAAGAAAAACAAGGGGCTTCTAATCCTGGGGTTCAAAGCAAGAGTTTACTTTCACTCCCTCTCTTCTTCCTTTCCTCACTAAAGAGACAGTGTTTTTCTCTGTTGCCCAGGCAAGTCCTGAACTCCTGCAGTCAAGTGATTTTCCAAGTAAGTGCTCATACAATTGCAAATCTGAATTGTCAGAGGGAATTTCAAATGTTCTTCTAAACTATTGCAAAGAACTGAGGGAAAAATGGGGGACAAAAGCAAAGGAAAAATACTAATGGGATACTAGCAAGGAAATATAAAACAATGTAAAATTTGAAAAACAGATTTTCATCCTTCGGACCGTCATGTGATAGGCATTCATGTGGAGGCAGGCCTAAACAGGTGCTCTCCTTCCAAAGATCAAGAGAAACCTGAAACATTCCAGTACAGTATCACCTCAGAAGCCACCCAGCTATAGGCTCAAAATTCAAGACCAGAAGCACATGGAAGCAACAGAGGCTCAAAAGGCCCTCAGAATAGATGACTGTCACAGAGCATGACCATGCTCAAACTATAATCCTTCGGCGGCACCAGGTAAAAGGTAAAACCACAGTGTGCCATTAGCAACACAGAGACAATCAAGATAAAGGACTGTTGTCAAGAACACAGTGACCTAGGCTATAGTGTAAAGGCTCACAGAATAACCCACAGATGTATCTAAGACACAGAGAAGCAAAAGGGAAGGCCTAACAAGTGTACCAAGGGCTCAGATACGGATTCGCTGGGCAGGCAAACTGGGATCTGGGCCTTAAAGATGGTCAGGGCTCCTAGGGCTCAGGTGCGAAGGGCACTGGGAGGAAATGTGGAGGAAGGAGTGCATGGAGGAGTCAGTAGGTACTAAAGAGGACGGAGCTCCTGGAAGACCTCACAATATCCCTTTTGGCCTGAATGCAGGGCTGGACAATGGCCCAAGAAGAAAGACAACTGCCTATCGAGTCCAAATTCAATCCTAAACATTATGAGGAGCCACTGGAGAACCATGAACAAAACAAGCTTTTAGCTGATCTGTGTTTTAACAAGATCATCTGGGATCTTGTGGGAAAGGAGGAGAAGGTATAATAGCTGATAAATGCTCCTAGTGCCTCCAAATCTGGAGACATAAAAACACCACCAAACTCTGAAGTTTCACTGGAAACAGATATTTCAATGCCTTTGATCAGAATTAATGAGGTTCTATTCTACTTTAGTGTTTATTACAAAGTGGTTACATAATATGACAATGATACTTTCCTTCATAAATATTTGAGCCTTTATTTTTTTAACCATCTTCATGCTAAGACTAAACCTGGGCTAAATTCATATGAAGAAAAACAATGACTGATGAAATTATATAATTTAAAATTCATTATGGGGAAAATAAGTTTATCAAAGAAGACCAACACTAACGTGTTATAGTAGCTTCCAGTCACATCAGATTAATAGGCAGAGAATCAGGAAGAAAAAAATCTGAAGGAAATAGGCTATGAAAATGAAAATGAAAGGTAGACCTGTCCAAGAAAGATTTTAGAATTCGCTTCCCAGTGCTCACAAGGTCTGATGCCAACTCATCCTAACACTGAAATACTTAAAGCTTCTGGTCACTGCCCACAGATGGCCAGTCAAGGGACCTTCAGAGTTCCTCCTTAGTCTTAGAGGATGTTTAAAAATTACTAAAATTAGTGCCTGAATAGATTTGTCATAAAAAGGTGTGATTCTGCATGGCACGTGATGCCTTACGTCCCACAAATGTTTCATTGGTTTCCTTGTTACCTAAGTGCATCCTACATAACAGATGGAGTTACCAGCATTACAATGACTGCTGTCAAGGAAGTGGGAAAAGGAGAGTATGGTGACTCATTTATACAACCCAGAAGTCTAGAAAACCGTGTCTTCCCAAGGAGCTCTGTACATTTGGGAAGCTGCAAATTCAGATTAATACCAAGTAGCTATGACATCTAAGAGTCCCTTGGCAGCAAGCTAAGATGGGGGTTGAAAGGAAAGCAGAGTTTTAGTGGACCCTAGGGATGGGGCTGGTAAGTGTTCTGCACTGTTCTACAGGCCTAGAATGAATAGCCTAGAGGTTAAGGACAAGGCCAGACAGACTTTGATTTGAGTCCTGGGTTCAACATGGGCACACAGCTTAACTTTTCTAAGTTTCAAATCCCACCACTTGAAAAAGGATGAAAATCAGACTTATCTTAGGGAATCGTTATGAGGTGCACTGAAATGATACATATAAATTGCTCAGCACCGTGCCCGAGAGGAAGCCATTTAAATATTTATGGTTATTATTAGAATTGATCACTTGGAATGCTTTCAGGTATAAAACATGAAACACTGGGGCTGGGAAGATGGCTCAGTGGTAGAGCGCTTGCCTTGCATGTATGAGGCCTTGGGTTTGATTCCTCAGCACCACATAAGCAGAAAAAGCCAGAAGTGGTGCTGTGGTTCAAGTGGTAGAGCACTAGCCTTGAGCCGAAGAGCTGAGGGACAGCGCCCAGGCCCAGAGTTCAGGCCCCACGACCAACAAAACCAAAAACAATAAAACATGAAACACAGCTCACAATAATGAGAACCATATGGACATGAGGTGTGTGCAGAGGGAGAGGTGGGGACAAGCAGGAGCAGGGAAGTAACACATGGAGAACTACAACTTCTCCATGACATTTAAAACAATGTGCCTAGGAGCCACTATTTCCTTAGGTTGAACAACTGGTGATTTGAGACTGACACTCATAAAAATTCCTTTATTTGCTTCTCTAGTATTTTTGTGCTGTATTTTCACAGCATTGTGTCTACCGTATAATAAGCTCAAAGGTCTATATTAGAAAAAGCACAAAGTGTATTGAAGATGTAAGAGCTAAAATTATAAACTTCTTTAGAAGGAAACAAGAGAAGTGTCAAGATATTGGCTCCGGCAAAGCTTTTAGATATGACACGAAAAGCACCAGAAACAAAAGAGAAAAGTAAGTAACAAAATTAAAAAGACTCTTGAGTGTTCACAGGTAACCCACAGAGTGGGAGCAAATAAACCTATAGGAGAGCTCACTGCACATGCATGTGTGCAGTCACACTCCCCCCATAAATGTTTATGCGGAAGTGGAGAAATCTGAGCTCTTATACACTGCTGGTGCCAATGTAAAATGGTGTGCCTGATATGGAAAACAGTATTATAGTCCCAGCAACTCCACATCCGGATACAGGTGCAGAAGTATCAAAAACGTGATCTCAAATAATATTTGTATACATATGGTTATATCAGCATTATTCACAATAGCCAACAGGTGAAAGCAACCCAAATATCTATCAATGGATGAATGGCTAAACAAAGTATTATACTTACAATGGATATTATGCAGCCTTTGAAGGAAAATCTAACACAGGCGTCAGCGCAGATGAACCTTCAGGATGTTAAGCTAAGTGAAATGAGCCTAAGATGTGCTGGTCACAAAAGATTCTACTTATGGGAAGTACTGGGAATGAGACAGAAAGGAGGATGGTGGTTTCCAGGGGCCAGGAGCAGGGAAGAAGGGAGTTAGTGTCTAATGCATTCAGCTTTGGAATATGCAAAGTTCTGGAAAGGTAAGGTTTCACAACACTGTGAATGTACTTGATGTACTTAATGGTAAATTTTATGGATTTTCTACCATATTCTTAAGAGATGACAGTAATCTGATTCTCTCGAAATAAAACAATGAGGATTTACAATAATCACACTTTGCATATTGACACTGCATTTAGTTCTACTTTAGATAACCCTCCTTAAAAATCCTAGGAGATAATTTTTAAAAACCCAAGACTCAAGTGCATGAGAGAAAAAGAAACTGTGTCTTTAATGGTGTGCTAACGTCACATTCACTTACTGAGAAATGCGATTTTCTTCCGTTGCCAAGACAGCAAGCGTTGCTGTGGAAACCACACAAAAACAGGGATACTTAACTGAAACAAACTCCACTCACCTGCACAAAGATGCCCTTGCTCTTATACTCCTCATGGAGGCACTGAGAGAAGAAATCTACAAAAGCCTAGGAGGGTGGTGGGAGTGGGAAGAAAACATACACATTACATCAATCTGCCTGATGTGTAGCTATGGAAACAAACAAATAATAAATTAACCATTTAATGCTCCCATTTCTAATTACTCCTTTCATTTCAAATGCAGAAGGAACATTTAAAAACCACCTTGAAATCTTAAGTGGTTTTTCTGCCACTAAATGAAGTAATATCTTACCAATATAATAAGCACACCAAATTCTGATTTAACTAGAAAAGGCTCTTCTTATCTTTCTTTGAGAAAATTACTTTCCAAGAAAAAAAATATTTTCGTATTATACAACAAAGGCTATATTTCTATCTTCTGTTCACCACTCAAGCAGAAACACAATATGACTTCGGTTCAAAACTCTTTCCATGGGGACTCTGCTGTTGTGAAAAGGAGACCAGCACGCATCCTGTGGATGCCTTGCTATGTATGTCAAGAACCGAAAAGTTCTGAGATGAAGGGGAGAGCCCATCTTCTCATAAGAATAGAACCTTAAATCTACTCCTAAATTCTGATGTGCATTTCTAAATATGGACTCAACATCTACCTTGAATACAGTGCCAAGAATCACTTTACAATGGTCCCAATAATCAATAATCCTCATCTATACAGAAGAGGTATAAAGCTGCAGTTCAGCAGTCATTTCTATCACATGGAGTCATTTTGAGCAAGTCTCCTGTATCTTCCACAGATGAGAGAGCAAGTGGATCAAAGGGACAGGAAGGGGGGGAGGGGGATGCCAGGTTTTTCCCGAACCACAGCAATCACTGAGTTTCTTCAAGTGAAAAAGAAAGCAAGTGCTTTGCTTTTTCCCTTCCCTGACATATCGCAAGTGCTTATTATGTGTTAAAATTTGCTGATTTGTCCCTAAGAACTTGCTAATCTAAACATCTAAATGGCGAGTTTTCTCTTCAGAAACGTATTCCATGCCTCAGTCATGTATCTAAAGACAACACTAGTGACCTAAAGGCAGGAGAAATACATTCTAAATTATTACCTAGCAGTAAGTGAGAAGGTGGATGAGAATAGTGTTTGAAATTGACATCTTAAGAATTCTGGAAAATTCTTGTCATACCCTATAAGTGCCAAAGAATTCCTTTGAATTCTGGGTAATGTTGCAAAGTATTCATATTCTCAGAACTCTTTCTTGTGCTTACTCAGAACAGTTACATGGTGACTGTATACATTTCTTCACTGCTGTGTGACATGGATTTATTCATGCATCACCTCTCCAACCTTAAGACTTAGTATTATGTTCTAATCAACAAGACAAACTGGTTTAGGCTGACTGTCTTTGAAAAGTGTAAGTACCACATTTTAAACCAGCAAACTACTGGGAGGAACAACAACAACAAAAAAACACCATTGAGATATGCTGGAGCCCCACTTCCAAGTTGACAGCAAGCAGCGCACGCATCTCCAGCCGTGGACCTCCCAAAACCCATATGGGGTATATTTTTCCTTTCCTTTCTAGTCTAATGGAAAATGGCCAAGAATAGAATTTCAAGAAGGCTAAATCTATGTTAATTGTTCAGACTAAAAATTACCTCTCAGTTTTTTGGTTTGTTGTTTTTTTTTTGTGGTCGTGGGGCTTGGAACTCTGGGCCTGGGTGTTGTCCCTCAGCTTCAGCTCAAAGCAAGCTTGCTACCACTTGTGCCTCAGTGCCACTTCCACCCGGTTTTTAGGTTGATAGAATTTACTGAGTTTCTATTTACCTTGGTTGCAGAGTAGATGGTCAACAGTGGAACTGGGAGCATGCCACTGGCAGAGGAGATATTCAGAATCACCCCTTTAGATCTAAAATGGAAAATGTACCCAGTAAATAGGGTGAAATCATACACACAATTGTTTGTGAGTTACAGATCAAGAGATACAGAAGCAGAATAACAGAGTTGCTTTTCTAACACACATTCCTCTCTGCCTTTCATCAGTGTGGGATATGCTTGGTCAGTGAATGAGACATAATTCAATGAACTAAGAATAGATCTGCTTTGCCATTAGCTCATTTCCCAGTCTTAGTCACCCAGGGCATGGCTAGATCAGCTCTACAGTCTACCGAAGTTATCTAAGGTCCTCTTCATGTCACAGCATCTCACTTACCAGGCTGGAGTGGTAGCTAAGTGATAGCTCTTACCTATTATGTGAGGGGCACCACAGGAGAACAAAACACTTCACAGGCACTCTTATAATCTGTACGCATGTTCATTTCGGCATACCGTCAACATGCTACATTGCTGAAGTTCCACTTGTATAAATACTTCCCCTTGAGAAAATTATGAGCTTCTGATCATGAAAGTCCCCCTTTCCTCAAACATCCTATGTAGTGCTCAGTACTAACAAATAGGTAATTAATTTTATGGCAGTGAGGTGAAGGCTATGTCCTACCCCTATACTTTTCCTGGGCTACAGATACTTGGGACCAAATATTTCCTGTACCTTTTAGCAACTATTGAGAATTCACACTGATCAGGAATAAATGAAAATGAGTTTGAAGAAAATAATGGTGTACATGCACCAGTTAATATAGCCTGCACATACATGTAGGTAATGTGTGAAATTATGATTTTAGGAACCTTCAAACCTAATACCAATTCTATCCTTTTCCATTCTTTCCAGAAGTTTCTTTTCTTCTTCCTCGCCTCCTCCCCTCCCTGTCTTCTTTTTTGTGGTACTGGGACTGAACCTAAGGCCCTGGGCATGATTAGCATATACTACATCACTGAGCTGCCCCTGCAACCCACTCTTCACTATCAGCTTCTGAAAGCTGACCCCACCCATCTCCTATCCACACCAGGTTGCTTTCCTTCAAATCCAGTTTCTCTTGTTCTTATCAGAATCTACCTCCCCAAGTCGTGTTTTTCAGTGTTAAAAAAAAGACTTTTTATGCAAAATAGCAGAGGAAACATGATTAAATGGCATCTAAGTTATTTTAGACATAAATCTGAAGAGAAATAATCCCCAAAGGTCACCCGCTCCATCTGCCAGCCTCTAGGCAACATGCCACTCCAACCATCAAAGGGAAGTCTGGCTCCTTGCTTAATGTGTCACCGGAAACAAGTTTTTGGTTTTTTTTTTTTTATCTAAGCAGAAGTCCTTATTAGTAACACACCCTGTTCTAAGCAGTGAACCACATGAACAGAAATAAGATTTCAAATTTTAAAATGTTATTAAGAAGCTGGAGAAAAGTTGAAATAAGTGGTTAATGGATCACATCATTCTTGTATTCTCTTGTCTGAGTCTCTTAGTAACAAGCCTCTCCTTTGTTTTTTTTGTTTTTTGTTTTTTTTAGGTAAGAAAGAATTAGAATTTAGAAACCAACAACTGAAGATTAAAAACTGGTGATTAGCAATAAATGTCTAGTCATTTCATTTTATCTATATCTGTGAGAAATTCTTTGATTAAAAAATAGATAAAAACCATTTTGGTTAAAGTATTTTTCCTTTTTAAGGTGCTGAAAATTTTCTAAAATTAGACAGTGGTGATGGTTGCACAGCTCTGTGAAAATGCTAAAGAACCAGAGACCTAAACACTAAAAAAGATCTTACAATACACAAAACACATCTCAATAAATCTGACATACTGGACTATGTTGCTGGGTCAGATCCCCAAGTGGAAACTAAGAGTTATTGTATCTTATGCAGCACGATATATTTTCTGAGAAGTAAGCCCAGGTCCTGACAAGTTAATCCCCCTCCTAGGCTCCCCAAAACCCTTATAGATGTGGGCTTTTATTTTAACCTTTTATCAAACATTCAGTAGTTGCCATAGGTCCAGTCATACAGAGTAAATAAGGAAAAAGATAGCATAAAGTAGGTGCAGTGATGTTTGTCTCAAAGACTGCAGCTTGTCACTCACTGCCGCTTTTATCAGCTGGATTCTGGACTCTATTATGGTAAAACTAGCTAGGGTAGTGTGTGTGCTCTTGGACATGAATCTTAAAATTTTCATTTCGTTTCACCTAAATGAAATGCAACTGGAAAGCCCACAAAGGTTAAAGCTTAATGCTAATAAACACTTTTAAAAATTAAATCTTGAACTTAACAAAGACTTTTAAAAGCCTCCCTCCTCAAAGCCACGAGTTCAACAGAAAAGTCATTTGAAGATAATAAAAGCTTCTTCCCTGGTTTGTAAAATATCAATAATCCAATATGTCACAAATATTTAGTCATGGTCTCTTATTTGTTTACATGAGGCAAATAAGATGTTCATTTCTCAAATATCCCACCCCGATTTAAAATCTCAAGAGGGAATAGCTACTTTGAGTGGACCAAAAGTAAAAATTTTAGAACATTTTATGTGAAACAGAGTATTTGTGTTTTAAAACACATTCAAGTGAATTTAAGACCATCAAAATTCCATAGAAAGTGAGAACTCATGAGACGTAAGTAATTAAAGGATAGCATTTATAGCTGTACTCAAATGGTAGTAGAGGGGAAAAAAAAAAAAACCCTCTACAATCCCTCTACAAATCTCTGTCCTACCACACCCACACAGAGTGTCTAGCAAAACTCTTCCCACATCCCCACACAGAACTGGCATACAATATCCCACCCCCCTCAGGATAAAAATATTCGACTTGCATTTTGTCTGAGCCACAAATAACACATTGGTATAGCCTAAGCCTTGTACTGTCCACAATATCTCTTTATGTAGGAATAGCAGTAAGCACTTGGGACTGAGAGGCACAAAGGACTCATCTTTAAAATCAACTATTTTGTCTAGCTCTAATCCTCCATCTCAGCAGAATTAGTGACGTCAAACCAGTTTCCATGGCACAGCCAGACTCATGACAACTCTGTTATATCAAGCAGAAGGACAAAATGGGCTGTACTTAATGGCACACAGAACCAAACACCAAAACTAAACCCTGGGTAATTTCTCCTTTTCTGGAGACTTGGGAACAATCCTAAGATTGGAAGGCGCGCTAACCATTTTTACTGAATTTCTGAAATGAAAATTCATGTTACTCATATTTTAGCACATTACCTACTTTGCTATGACAAGCGTCCAAACAAACACATCCTGAAACATTCTCTGTGGTGCACCATTCTTAATTTATCACACTGCTTTCTTGCTAATCATTACACAATGGTGTCTCAACTACTAGAACTAAAATCCTGTTTAAAAAAAAAAAAAAGGAAAGCAGGGAATACCACTGGCTGATAAGGAAGGGCCTTTTCATACAAACATATTTACTTCCATATTTACCTCCCATAAGCCACTTGCACAGGCCTATGAAATTCAGTACCCTGTATCTATATTCTGCAGGGGAATTCTTTTAGACCTGTGCAATTCTCCATAGGACTCTTTAATTTTTACCTGAATTTTAAAAAAACCTTGCCAAGCCTTTATTCTACAATGTTCCTTCATTCTGCCAGACTGGTATCATATCCTTGTTCTCACCTCTATAAAAATACTATTGCCTAAGAGAAGTAATAGGTCTATTTGAAATGAACACTGATTCCTGCCTTCCTCAGGAAACGTCAGCACTGCGCCACACTGCAGGTGAGGAGAGGTAATGGGGCACAAATGCTGCCAAGAAGTGAAATCATAGGGTTACTCATAGTATAGACAGCTAACTGGACTCAGAGATGGACGACAGGCAAAAGAGAATCTGAGAAAAAAAAGCTCATTGCAATTCTTTACATTTCCACTTCATATCAGAGAAGACAGAAGCATGATCCTGCAGGGTCATTATATAGTTAGTTTTTTTTTTTAAGCTTTAACTTAAAACTTAAATTGGTGTAGGCAGTTTTTTTTTTTTAAATAGACTCTTAAGAAGAATAGGGAAACAGCAAAATAGAGTTCTGTGTCAGAAAGGAATCCTGGAACATAGGGTCAGGCATATAATTAGAGCCAGCAATCCAAATACTTACATTTATGCAAATATTGCCTTGTTGAAGAAAGTTTGCAAACATTTAGCACATGAAAGAGAATTACCTGCCCTAAAACACCACAACATGTCATAATTCTACCTTAAGTAATACAATATGAAAAAGGCTATTTTTAGCTTTCCCATGGTTGTTATGGCAACCACCTCCTGGCTCCAGCTGTACACAATGTTCATAATTCCAGGGAAGGAGAAAGAACAAGTTTCTGCTATAATGCAATTATGTACTTTCTACTTGTATGCTAATAATACCTTAGTTTTATAGATACTTGTTTAGTGACAGTCACCTGGCTATAGACTACAGTTCTACATCATCATAGAATCAGTCAAAGCCAAAAAAAAAAAAAAAAGCCAACAACAAAGGATCTTTCTGAAAGGCACTGCTGTTACTCAATCAGAATACCAATCCTATGGAAGCTAACCAGAGGAAATAGGCCATTCTAGGCTATGTAAAAAGTGGGTTACAATGAAACCATTTATGATGTGCAAGTAAGACCACTTTCTGAATCTGTTCACCTGTAGTTTTCCTTTCCTCTTGGGCACAGTTAACATTTCTGGCCTCTCATAATTAGTTACCAGCTGACTTCTGCACAATGGAATATGGACAGAAGCAATGTATGCTACTTCTGAGGATGGGTCCAAGAAACCTCCTTTAAAACCATCCTGTATATAGCACAGAGGTGCTCAATAAGCATGAAGCTTGCATTCCTGCCTAAGCTGGTCACAGAGGTCTCTTAAAAGAAGTTGAGGTCTTGGTTCCTCTCTTTTCAAAACTATGATTCCTTTGGTCTCTTCCAAACTCAAAGTCATTTTGCAGAGGAAGGACTGTGAAGCCCTACATTCAGCAAGTGACCAAGCTAGATCAAGATGTAAGCCTAGTTCTTTTCAATAGGTTTTCTTTGAAGGCCTAATCACCATTTTGATTTTTCCAGGGGAGGATCAGAGCTTACCTATAATTTTGCACTTCATGCTATTTCAAATGTAAAAGCTATACTATACATTTCTCAATAAAAATGAAGGCATCCAGTATATCCTAGTGATACCTAGGTCAAACTAGAACACTAGATGAGGACTGTGGAAATGCCTCTCCCTATATTGGTTAGTCTGACCATTTCTGTTTATTTCATTACATGCCTAACTTCAGCTCAGAGAGGATACGCCTTTAAGAAGGCATTCCCGGGAATATCCCAGGAACTCTGTCCACCCCCTCAGAATAGCAGGCAATTGAGTTAGTGGTGGTGACTCAGGCTGGCTTTTTAATCCAGATCTAAAGGAACCACCACAACCTTACAGAGGAAAATAGTCAAGAGGAAAAGGCCTCCTCCACCAGTGACTCATGCTCCATCGTGTGACTCGCCTGGCACTAAGACCTGGAGCGAGGTTCATTAGTCACTTTAATGAAATTTTGAAAGAAAGGATTCTCCGTATAAGTAAGAATGAGGAATCCACGGGGTTTGTGTGTGAGCGTGTGACTCACCTTTCTACCATGCCAGGCAGCACCAATCGTGTCACCTGCAAAAGAGAAAACAAAAACATTCGTGATCACCGAGGACACAGGCAGAGTGAAGAAAGGCCACCCACACAAGAGAGAAGGACTCACAAAACCACTCGGCTGGTACCGACAGCAGTTTATTTGATACACTCTGTATAATCTGGCCATGTCAAGAGTACATAAAAAGGAACCAGATAAAAATATTAGAGATAACTCTGGGAATGCTCGGTGAACTTGTCTAAAATTAGCCTTGCTGGAAACATAAAGACTTGGCACAGTGATCTTCAAGTAAGAACAATTTTATGGAGTGGATGCTTTGTCAGAAAAAGGACATTCATTCATTACCAGCTAAGACAATATCCTTCCCACCAAGGATTATTTAAATAATCTTTTCTGGTCAAAATAAGCCTTAAACAAAATGACATAAAATGACATATTGGCAGATAGCAAAGGTATCTTTCATATTCATTTCTTTGATTGAACCAATTGGTCGTGAGTGAAACTCATCCCCTTAAAGACAGTTCAGGTTATCTGTGGTCTCCAATGAAAAAAATGCCACTTGGAGATTTGTTGGCCAAATTCACATAGTGATTAAAGGGGAAAAAAAAGGTACTGTTTTGAGATGTTAATCAAGAAAAGTTAGAAGTCCTCTGGCTCAGCCAAGATACACCATTTTGAGTACTGACACTGAAATATGAATTCCTGACTCCTGGACTGCATCTGTCTCTTAGAAACAAATGGTACTTTGTCAAAACAATGTCTGAATTCCTACCAAGCACAGAATTGAAAGCTTTCTTTCTTGGGTATTATATATTAATTAAAATGCACAATTTTCTGATGAGAATATTTTCCTTAGAATGAATCTGAAGAAAAAAGAGTTCATCCAGACTTTTTCCAGGTCAACTCTGATATGGAGATGAACATTATCTACATAGAGGATATCTATGCAGAGCAGTCACACACTGCCCAGTGAGGACATGAGCTCCAGCTGACACTGTGTCATCAAGAAACAACAAACAAAAACCAAAGCCTAGAAAGATAATTATTCACTTCAACAGAAAAGCATGTCTACAAAGCATGAGCAATCATTTCAAGAATATATGGATTCATTCAATTCTTCTGACCCAGATGAAAATAAAGAGAAACTGTAAGAGCCAAATAGAACCAAAGCTTCCCATCTTTCTCCCCTTCTTACATACAAATCTGTTGTATGTATGTGTATGTATATGAGAATGAACTTATCATTCTTCATAGAATGGTGAGGCAGAGGTTGTCAATTGTTCCCCAACATCTACTCTTTCCTTCATACACTGCAACTCAAACTTTAGTTGGGCATATGGTCTCTTTCCTACCTTACTGCTCCCTATTAATGAACACATTTTCTACAACTTCTCTTGCAGCTGCTTATTGTCTACGCTACATTCTATTTGAATACATGCAACTTCTTGGTCATTTTCCATTACTATTTCCTCTTGCTGGTGGCTAAACATATGCTGGAAGGAGCTAGGTGAGCCATTTTGAGCCCAAGGTAAATGCTGTGTGCTTAACAGTGGTGGAGAAGCAGGTTAATCAGATTATCTATACAGCTTTTTTTATCTGAGAAACAAATTTCTATTTTGTTAGCCATTGTTGTATCTCTGTTTTAGGAGACAAGTCAATGTTATTTTCGTTCGCTCTGCAGTGCTGGAGATGGAACTCGAGGCCTTGCATCCTAAGCAGGCACTCTATTACTGAGTCACACCATCACCCCTTAATCAATATTCTAACTAATAATGATGACTGATCAGATGCTGAAAAAGACTAATGTTAACATTTTAACACACACACTAAAGCACAACCAAACAGTCTCAATGTTTTACAGTTATTTTTGTTTTGTTGTTTTTGATGCAGGTTCTGGGGTTTGGTCTTAGGGCCTGGGCACAGTCCCTGAACTTTTTTGCTGAAGGCTAATCCTCTACCACTTGAGCTACCACGTTTTGGTGGTTAACTGGAGATCTCATGGACTTTCTCATGGACTCTCCTCCCCGGGCTGGCTTTGAGTTGGATCCTCAGATCTCAGACTCCTGAGTAGCTTGGATTACAGGTGTGAGGCTCTGGCACCCATTAGCTTATTTTACACTTTTTTAAAAACACAGTTGTATTTCTTCTCTTTTCCAGATTTAGTTGGCCCAATTCATATTGTATCTATTGTACTGGACTTTTAATGAAACTCAGCAGAACTAAGTTAAAGAAAAAGTTCATTTTTAAGTTTGTCTATTCTAGGGAGTCACCTTCTCTCTCCTTCTCAATTGAAACAGTAACTTTCAAGTTATTTCCTAAGATCGGTCTATATAACCACTGAATGCTAAAGTAAATGTGACATGACCTTTAACTAGTCCCTCATTTACAGAGTCTTAATGTATTAAATAAAGAAGTTTTCTACATTTCATGGTATTATAGTCTGAATCTCAAATGAGGTAGTATGGACCTAGCACAGGGCATGTCATAGAAAATGTCTGATCAAAACTGACATCTCCTCCTATCAGCCGGGAAATCCTTTTAGGATGTAGTAACACTAAGAACCTGGTCCTACCTTATATCCCAGACAATACAGAGCCAAACAATGACACATTTTGAGATCATCCAGTTCAACTCATCACACAGAAGGTTCTGGACAGTTCTATCAATATGTAAAAATATCTAATTTGGAATCTTTTGGGGGTAATGGAATTATTCTAAGATTAGACTGCTAAAGATTAGATTTGATAAAAATCATTGAAGATGAATGTTATGGTTTATACATTGGTTCTAAATAAAGTCTTTAAAAATTGCCTCAACAATCATGGACAGAATTAAAGAACTGAAGTCACAAAATATAGTTGATGTTACTTTATCAAATCAAGGAGATAAAAGAGCACTGAAAATGCTCTATGCATACAACTTTCAGCCTGAAGCAACATGATGTAATAAAGTGCCATTTTTTTCATATTCATTTGAGGAGTGTTATCTTCAGACATTAAGATGGGTGATAAGAAAATACACACACATATACATACACACGCACCCCAAACCTACAACCCCTACCCCCAGTATCCAAAACAGTTATTTAGTGAATATCTCATTACTGAATAATTGTTCTAAGCAGACAGAGGGCACTGTTTTTGTTTGTTTGTCGGTCATGGAGCTTGAACTCTGGGCCTGGGCGCTGTTCCTCAGCTCTTCAGCTCAAAGCTAGTGCTCTATCACTTGAGCCACAGCACCACTTCTGGTTTTCTGGTGGTTTATTGGAGATAAGAGTCTCATGGACTTTCCTGCCCGGGATGGCTTTGAACTGTGATCCTTAGATCTCAGCCTACTGAGTAGCTAGGATTACAGGTGTGAGCCACCAGCGCCCGGCAAGGGTACTGTTTTTAGGAGGAAGTTTATATCTAGTAATCAGGTAGAGTTTGGAGGTATGTTTCAGTTAAGTTAAAAAAGAATTGTTCACTAGACAAAAAATTACAGAAGGAACAAAATGTAAAAGGGCATACAGTGAAAAATCATAATGCATGCTATAGTTGCTGCATTAAATTAAAAAAGACTATTTACTGGATGGATAAATTATACATAAGAAGTAAAAAGTACGTACACTGTTAGATATGTCATACAACTTGCCTTTGCACAAAATACAGTTTTAATGCCAATAAAACAGGCATATCAACAGCTGTAGAATATTGAAAAGGATACAGTGTATGCATTCTTAACAGTATCTGAAACTTTTTATTTAGCATACCTCACAAGGGAATTATCATGATAGCTAATATGTTATAAAAAAGCCCTAGAAACATATTGCAAAAAGAAGCTACTATTTTACTCCCTAAAGCTCTAAAGTATCCAAAAACAGAATGAGGGAAGAGGAGAGTAATAATAAAATGTTCATGTATGTGTGTACAGGTGTATTTATACTAAGGAAATGAGACTCATTAACTGCAAGGCTAAATGGAGATCTGAAAGGGTAGCTAGTGCCTGTTAAGCTCTGCTATACAAAAGATAAAGAATGAGCTTTGTGGGCTGGGAAGGTGGCTCAGTGGTAGAGTGCTTGCCTTGCATGCATGAGACCCTAGGTTTGATTCCTCAGCACCACATCAGCAGAAAAAAAAAAAAAGCTGGAAGTGGTGCTGTGGTCAAGTGGTAGAGTACTAGCCTTGAGCTGAAGAGCTGAGGGACAGCGCCCAGGCCCAGAGTTAAGGCCCCATGACCAACAAAATAAAACAAAAACAAAAAAAGAATGAGCTTTGTAGGAAGTGATTAATTCTGGAGGGCTATTAGGAAAGACCAGCAAAAATTTAACTTTTGAGAAAATACAAATGTGAGCAATGTGAGTTACCTTCTCTTTATACCATGTCATCTATTAAATGTTTCTTTCTTAAACTTCAAAAATTATATAGAAGATGATCAGAGACAAAGGTAAGCCCTGAAAGATAGGATCATATTTGCAAAATTGTATCAAATACATGCTAAACATTAAATATCTTCTTGATGATCTTATGTGCATGGATATGATCAAAATATATTCTTTATAAATTGAACAAGTTTTCATAACAAGAAACATGGCTTTTAATATCTAGCTATATTTAAGACCAAGATAAACTTATTGAATCCTTAATGATCAAATGCTCCAAAAGACACAAGTCCTTTTGTGTAAAAGTTAAATTCTTCTTATAGCTCATTAGCTTTTTCTTTTAAATTCTGACTAGAAATTATTCTCCTTGCCATAAAATGGAACATCTTTTTTTTTTTTTTTAAAGAGCAATCTGTCAAATAGTAATAACATTGAAAAGCCTAACAAAAGTTGATTTGAAACTTGTATACTTTTATAAAATTGATTAATGCTTTCATCTATGCTGAAATTATCTTTTCTTCTAAGCAGATTGTAAGCCATAAATTCAATTTCAAAGCTTCTTTGAGTATGTGTGTACAAATCATTCCCAACATCCAAACACATAAGAGAGATTTTTTCATGTTCACACTAAATTCTCATCAGTAACTTATTCTTTGGCTA